CTAAGCTTCTTCCTCTGAATTGTTGATTATTAGTCTTTTTCTCTTTGATATCCCTCCACATTTCCTGGAGTTTAGTGATGCAGTAGCTTGCTGACAGGATGTGCACCTTTCAATGAAACCGTTGTTATGAGGACCTGACCCCGCTGAACTATCTCACACTGATCTCCACAGAAATAAACAGAGCTGTTAAAGCACTACTTCTGAACTTCTGATCAAAGTCGTCAGTCAGAGGTTGCAACAGAGTGGAAGTAATAAACAGTATGGTTTCTGGGGATCTCTTCATTGTGTTGAGACATAACTGAATGATTCCAGGCCAAGGCCAACAGAGAAAGTTAGAGACATTGCAATCCAGGCAATGTGATTTAAAAAACAAGTAAATAAAATATATTTATTTTAACCAATTTCTCCTTCAGAGTAAAAAAGACCTAAAAATTCAGAAAAAAACAGTTATCACTGTGTTATCCATACTCACAAACACATTAAATAGTTGTAGCGGTGCAGTCAAAAATATATCAACCTACATCCAATTTGATGTCTTAAAGGCAAGAAGCAACAACCACAGCCAGTTACTTTCAGCTGAAACATATCCCCTCTAAATCAACTCATTCGTATGTTAACCTAGGAGTGCAACCAGCACTGATTTTCATTGCTGCTTGAAAAATCAATTGTGATTACAATTGTCCTTTTGGTGGAAACAACGATTGGGAAGCCATGTATTCAACATTTCAAGATATATTTAACAAAGTAATCAGACATATTGATCAATTTTAGAAATTGCAATGGGCAACTGAGTATATTTTTTATTAATACCATATAAAAAAATCAATCATCCAAATTCCTAAATATTTTCCCTTATAATTTAATGGTTTGTTAGTGAACCATACAAACTATGAAGTTGTTTAGAATAAATAGTTAAGTTTGTTGACCCACAGAGGCAGACTAACAGACTAACAGAGTAATTTTTCAGAGTAGAGATATGATCACTTCCAGTGCCCCATATGTGTCAAACTCTAAAAGCTTCTACAATCCCACTATACATTATGTCTAAGACATGAAAGGAACCCTAGCTTTTCTCTCAATCTTGACAAAGCTTCAGCAGACCTACATGTGGATTAAAGGTCACATATTATCCTCCTTTTCAACAAGTTTAAATGCCATAACTCCCAGAGCTCCCAAAAAATGTCTGTGGAGTTTCTTGTTAAAAATCCACCACGATCCTGTATTTGATCATGCCTATGAACCCCTCTTTTTCAGCCCTGCTCAGAACAGGCTGTTTCTGTGGCTTTAAATGTAAATGAGCTGTGTTAGACCACGCCCTTCTGGAAGGGCTTGGGTGGCTTGGGCTTTCTTGCACCATGTCCTATTGTTTATGGAAAGAAGGCAGACTCAGAGGGCAGAACAAACACCTAGCTGTGGAAGTGTCACCAACCTGGGGGAGGGGTTACTTCCCTTTGTGATGTCATGAATGGGAAATCTCCAAACAGCCAGCCATTTTCTGAAAAGTGGAGCAGGCAAAAGACAGAAAGGATGGACCTCTCTCATAACTGGTGGGCTTGTAGACATAGATTGGTGTCTTGTGCCCAAAACATGGTGAAGTGTATTTTGCATAATTTGTGACCTTTTTTGTAGTCATTTTTTGGTATATTTGCACAAGAGTGAAGCTACTACTCCACTGGTGTCTTTACTCAACTTCAGACTGCATTCCCGCTTCTCAAAGTGCTACAATGCAACGCACAGATAAAGGATATTTTGGAAGGATATATTTTTGTTTTTATCATGAACCCCCGGCAACACTGGAAGCCCCAAAAGTTAGCCGATAATGATATCCGACATATAGCTGGTGGGTTCTGAGATTGGGTGCTATAACTTCCATGCTTTGGCCACATCAGTAGTGGCTCTTGATGGGCATACTCATTCAATCTCTATATCTGCATTTTTCCAGGTTGCCCCCACATCCAACCCATGACTTTCCACTCCCAAACCAGACTCCTTGATCTCCAAAAGCTATGCTCTCTTTTACTTTCTGTTTAGAAAACAAGTCTTTCTTAGAGACAGAGATATGAGGTGGCACATATTCATATACACTACCACCTATCCAGCAGTATATCACAACATTTTTCACACCTATGTTTTATGAAATATCTTATTTCATGTTGAACTAATACAAACCGCTGAAACAATTCTCTCTTATCCTGTCTTAAAAGAGGGAGAACAACATTTTGAGCATGAGGGAGGAGGAATGGCATTCTCAAAATGTTTAAGCTTTAAAAAATCCTCTTTGGCTTTCTCTATCTCTCTCTCTGACTCTGTTCTCTCTCTCTGAACTTTGTTTTGGGGTGCGTTCGGTCATGTTGCCTCTTCTCAGCCCGGAACAAAACACACAACGCAGTGAGAACAACCCGGCCTGTGAACACTTCAAAAGCTCATCGGTCCCTCTGCTGAGGCTTTTGAGGGAGGAAACAGCTTAATCACTCAAAGGAGAACAGAGGAAATAAAGTATAGACAAACAGACACACAAGCAACAAAATAAAGTGATGTTAAAGTGGAAACAAAGAGCACCTGATGCACACACACACTGACAGACTTACATGTGTGGCAGGTGGCTCCTGTGTATCCTGTTCCGTCACAGCTACAGCTGAAACTGTCCCACGTCTGTTTACAGCGACCGCCATGTTCACAGTGATTAGGCATACATCTGGAGAGAGAGAGAGAGAGAGAGAGAGAGAGAGAGAGAGAGAGAGAGAGAACCCAATCACAACCCATGTTTCTTAAGCATTTTATAGATATTCAACTAAATTAAGTATATAATGTAAATAAGCTTTCCAGTTCATCAACTATAGTAATCACAAAGCACTATTCAGATTTGTGATTTGTAGCCAGTTGGTTGATTACTTAAAAAAAAAAAATATGGATCAGATTGTATCAATCTGAAACAGAAAGAAACCTGTGTTACATGACAGTGCAAAGTTAAAAATGTAATTCCTGAATTGGATTCCCAATGAATGGCACAATACAGATGTTTTTACTGACCATTAGAGCATTTGATTGAACATGACAATTACTGGAGGCAATAAATCCTTAGTTGTACTGATACTAATACCTTTTGTGATGACCCAAAAATATGTCAATGATAATAACTAAAATGTTTTCTTCCACCACAGAAATAAAACTCATACACAAAGTGACGGAAAAGTTTTAGTCACAAACTCCAGATGTAATTTTGTTGTATGTTTTTTTTACATTTTAAGCAAGAATAGGAAGATTTGTTTTGTTGTAACTCAGTACCCACGTTTTAAAAATTCCAGGAGTATAGTCGGGAAAAAACAGCTTTATTCACCTCAGTGTGATTACAGAACTACACACTCAGCAGTTAAGACGTCACTGTTTTTCTCATTGAAAATTGAATAGCATTTCAAATCCTGAACACATAAAAGGTCTGTGGTTTGATCTGCCCGCAGGCCTGCTGGGGATGGATCCCAGGTTTCTGTAGTCTTTGCACACATACACAAACTAGCAGAAAAACTTATGTACTCATGCATAAGTGATTCGATTAAAATATCTGTGTGTGCTTATTTGAATGAATCAAAGTGATGTTAAGAGGAAAGCCAACTGGAAGGAAAAAACAAACAGTGATGCAGAGGAGCTGCAGGGGTTCTTTTAAAATGCTGGCTTCTTCTGCAGACATGCAGGGAGTCGGGCAGTTAAGAAGCACAGAGACGTTTAATCTCTAAAGAAATAAGGCAATCCCTGTTTTCACAACTAAAGTGACTAAAAAGCTGATGTACAACTGCAGGCTTGTTCATATGATACAGGACTAGATGACTTAAGTGGAACATGTCATGTTTTAAATAACTTACTCATACTTTATGCAAATGTTTGTTTTCATAGAAGATGCTAGAAAGGTGAGAATAGGAAAGAACAAATGCAAGTGAGTGTACTGCATTGTATTTGCTCTGTGAAAACTAAAGACAACAAAAACACAGACATTCAAGATTACACGAAACAAACTAACAATAATCAAGTCTTAGTAGTTGATTCTCATCACAAACTAGAAAACAAGTCATGATCCTACATCATTGGAACCCTTTGTCATGATGCTTTTGATGTCTTGTGTGAAGCACTTTGAAATGCCTTTTTGCTGAAATGTGCGATGTAAATAAACCTGCCTTGCCTTGGACCACGTCTACAAAGACAGAAAAAGGCACAGACCAGCGCAGGGAGAAACTTAAGTCATGCAGCTACCAAAACTGGACTTTCATCAAGACCTCAAACAAACGCAGTTCCGGCAAAGAAGACGAAAACAATTGAGACCACAGCATTTCCACACTACGTGTCTGGAGTTTGGCAAGCTAAGCCAGTAGCTTGGCCACAAAAGGAAACAAAACATAATGCAACATAAAAAGCTTTTTTTCTTTAAAAACAGGCAACCATTGACAAACAAAAATACAATAAATTATACACAGCAAGCTGTGAGCAATGAAGAGCATGCACTATATATGCTCTATGCTTTGTATGATTAAAATAGAATATCAATGAAGAGAACCTTTTGTGTGCTTTTATGAGCTTAGGTGTGTCCTACAACAGTGACACTGAAATAAAATCATTTTATTTGCGTAGCCTTGTCCCTGTGTGTGTCTGGTATGTGTACGCGCTGCTTCCACCATATAGATCAAAAAAGTAGAACAGTGGAAAGGCATTGATCAAAAAGGAGGTCAGACAGGGCTGTTGCGCTGCCTTCAAAGACATTCTGATTAGTTAGGTGGTGACACTGCCTCCATTTATCTCCCATAGCAGGACAGGGCACACCTCAACACTGCAGGATGATACAAAACATAGAAATAATAGAGATGGGAAATAGAGCAAGCAGCCAGTCACAAGAGTTTGATCTAAAATCTGACACGAGCAAGCCTGCGGTAAGCCATTCAAAGTGATTGTAATAAATATCAGAGCAAACCCCGCCCACTTCACATTCCTTATGTCATTCTTTATACCTTCAGAGAGTTAATATGAGCTTTTTGTGATTTTGGGTTTCCAGAGGCTTTAATATGTGATCTCACCAAGCCAGACATCTGAACTCAGGACAACATGGATCCAAATCAAGCAGTGACAGTTGTTGTCTTATTCTCAGAGCAGGGAAATTGATGAAGGTAAGTGTTATCGACAAAACTGACCCGAAGACAAACGGCTAAGGTCGGGGTTCATTCTCTTCTTAGCACAAGGTCGACTCCTAATTGTTGCCTCTCAGTCTTGTTTACCTTAATGGAGCAATCCATGAAATAACTCATCATGGCTGAGATCTTCTTTGTGTCCACTGCATGATGGGAACCCGCTTAACTTTTACTTAACAAAGAAAAGGCTTAACAGTTAATCCCACAGATTGCTCTGCACTAATGCATTGAATGTTCAGGAGCATTCAAAAGGATCTCAAGACGTGGATGATTCCATGTATAGCTGAATGTGTTTCTGGACCCTTTAACAAGGAAATAAATTGAAATGTCAACAAGCTGTAATATATTTTAAAGTGATCCAACACTGAGGCGTGCTGTGCAGAACCTCCTGATATGTTATATTGGCCAGTGAAAAAGAGAAATACGTGTCTGTTTTAAAAAAAACATTTCATAGGATCATACTGTGTTTTCGGATGATGAAACCTACTCATGTCTTTCAGTTTCAATGAAAATATTTAATGTCCACAAAGATCATTTTACAGGGTGAATCCACCTCATCAATTATATCCATTTATCAGTGTGACAAGCACACAGGAAACATCCACACACAAACTAATTCTTGTGCAGTTGCACTCGCAGCAAGCAGAGCTCCTGAGTCATACTGTACATCTCTAGATAAGAACACAAAGGCTCTGCTTATGATTCAATGTATACAAGTTCTAAATTAAAACCATTTGATTTATGACACATTGTGTTGGCTCTATGCATATGACTTCTATTTTTATTGAAGGATTGTATGGATTTAGCATAGAAGCAGGAATGATCACTCTTACCTGTCTATGATTGCACACATGTCCAGGCTGACATTCTCAAAAGCTCCCATGATGCCTTTCTCTACAGCGTGCAGATCAGCTGGTTGGTCGTCCACGAGGATCGCTTGCATGCAGCCCTGGAAGGAACGCAGGGAGGGGGATAACAACGTCTGGAGAAAATACCCTGGAACAAACAGACGAAAAGAAAAGAAAATCAAAAGCAATGAAACTTGAAATTAAACTATAGACTCATCACATCCAGAAGCAGATATGTGCATGGTTAACAGTTTTCAACATCAATGAAATATTCACAAGTAGTCATCAAGTATTGGTTTTATTATTATGGATGCACGTTATAGAGTCTCCATTAGGACACTGTAGTTTGAAGTGGGATTAGGGAGTGCCTGCCTGGCGCAGTGATCTGCTTCACAGAAAAAAAAGACATTTAAAACACAGTAAATGATACCATCTGATGTGCAGACCAAAGGGTATCAATAGTTTGACTATCATATATGTGAGTTTGGTGACTTAGTTAATAATGATACATGAGTAAGTGGTTAAATTTGTAGAAAAGCTTATGTGATTGGCCAAAATTGCAATGTTGCAAAACTGAGTAGGGATTTAAGTAATTTGTATGAATTTGCACAATCATGACATCAAAACTTTCTGGTAGGACTGTTGGATCAAAACGAGAACTGACGATGAATAAACAGAATACTGAACAGCTTTGGAGAATGAGAAGCAACAGAGCAGGGAAAGGTGATTACCACAACTGATGAAAGATGGATTCTGTAACACGTGAAGAAAACATTATCTTCTGTGGAAGCAGTCATCAGACTGAACAACAACATCATCCTTGGTTATGTCATTTCTTTAGGGCTGTGAACCTTCATCTGCCCTTTTGTTTTAAATCTTGTTCACAAGGCCGCTTAGCCTTAATATCTGTACTAAGGCTGTGATAGACATAAAGTCTTTACAGAACCTTCATGAGATACAAGAGTCAATGGCCCGTCCTGAGGTAGCACCAGGCCTTGACTGAAATGGGGACAAGCCTAGGATCAAATTGTGAACAAGGGTGTGTGGGAGTGAGTGAAAGTACATGGATATGTGGTAAGTCTGTGTGTTTTACATCTATAAATCGTCGACGTGCATCCGTTTATAGTACGGTATACCTGTGTGGAGGTGTTATTACAGTACACACGCACAGTCAGATAAAGGAGATGAGTACCTGGGATTCAATCTGAGCCACACACACAGGCCACTTATAAAACAATGTCTCTCAATGACATCTCCATCATAGTGGTGTTATTAGCTGTCATATTTTGCAGCATGTTAGCCTCAAAGCCAATGCATCAAAAAGGCTTATTATAGAGGGCATATGCACAGTGTGTGTGTGTGTGTGTGTGTGTGTGTGTGTGTGTGTGTGTGTGTGTGTGTGTGTGTGTGTGTGTGTGTGTGTGTGTGTGTGTGTGTGTGTGTTGGATTCATCCTCTACTTAGATTCTCATTTCATGTCCCAAAAGTTTCTCCTGTCATCCCTGCCATCTGCCTCTCCTCCTGCCACACCTCTGCTGTCTTTCCAGAGAAAAGGGAGACAGGCAGAAAAAAGAGAGAGAGAGAGAGAGAGAGGGAGAGAGAGAGAGAGAGATAACAAAGAAGAGGGAAGCTAAAGCAGCAGATTACAGCTGGTTGGCAGCAGTTTGTGGTCCTCAGAAGAGCATCTCAATGCAAAGAAAATGCAGCCGTCATCACAGCTAGGCAGAGCTGATAGGTTGCACCTTTTTGAACTCATATACCGATCATGTTGTGTGCATGCAGCACATTCTTAAGATGTGCAGTGAAAAATGTTTTTGCATCTATTTCTTCTTAAATATATATTTGTTTTCTATAATATAGTCGACTCTACAAATCCATTAAGGTTAAAAAGTCAGTACCAAACAAGACAGAAATAATCAAATCAATATGTGATATTTTCTATATTTTCTGGCTGTTTCTGATTATTGAAGAGGCTTTTGGGAACTTTAATGACAAAGAAAACACACTGACACTTATTTTTAAAACTACAAGATGCTGATATGTAAATGTACATGAAACCTCAAAAACGGTTGAAAGGCTATGGTGCATTTGCTTTTCAATTTGCTTCAAAATACATGTTTCTGCTCTTAATCATGACCTGCAATAACCAATGTTTGTATGTTATTTATATTTTGTCTTACAGTCCTCCTACCCATAAACATGTCCATTTCACCGTTATGTTTTTTTTTTTCAAATATATTCCATAATTCAGACTGCTGTTATATAGCTACAGTGACAACCAGGTAGATACAGACCAAGATCTGTGAGGCAGAGTCTGACATAGACACTTTGTAAACAAAGCAGAGCTGTAGTCATACATCTGTTCATCCTCCCGCTATCACACACACCTGCAATCCATGCTAAGGATGTCTGACCACACTCCCCCCCCCCCCTGAACTTAAGATGCTCTGTGGTTTTAATTTGTAGTATCAAAACTCCTGTAACCCCTCACGCTCCGGAACAGCAGCAATAAACCCCCGCAGCCTTGCTGGCACTCTATCACAGCCCCCCTGTGGTGCTAAAAGAGCTTCTTTTACAGAACACACAGGAAGAGCAGCACCCTCTTTCTGCTTCATGAACACCATCTGACTGGCCCAGCTGGATCTCAGGATACAGAACACTTGTTTCCACATCTCGACACATTTACGAGGAAGCATCTGCACTGGAGAGCCGCCAAAATTTAGGTCGGAAAAAAAAAAAATATATATATCCTGAGGATGCAACTACAAAAAAATATTCAAACAAATGATGAAAATTGTGGCCAGAATGATACATTTCCAAAAATATTAATTACCTCTGAAAAATTGATAATAATAAAAATTATAAAGGGAATATACTGGGTGGCTGTGGCTCAGTTGGTAGAGTCGTCGCCTCTCAACCGTAAAGTCGAGCGTTCGATCCCCAGCTGGGCAACATGTCCGATGTGTCATGGGGAAGACACTTAACCCTGAATTGCTCGCTATGAATGAGATGAGTTACTTCTGATGGATGATACTACATAGCTATCACTACCATCACTGTGTGAATGGGTGGGTGTGACATGCAGTGTAGAAGTGCTTTGAATAGTTGGAAGACGAGAAAAGCGCTATACAAGCTCAAGTTCATTTACCATTTACAAGACTTAACAAACAATAATAAACTGCATATCTTTCAAACATCTACACACTTAAGTCAGGGACAAGATGTACCAGTCGTGTTAGACGTGCACATAAACAAGAATGTATGCAGTGCAACTGTAACATCGCCAGATGTTTTTGCTTTTTTAATCACAAATGTGTCCATTCTGTAGGTCCATGACAATGTACTATGGTATGCACAAAGAAAATGCACAGCGCTCATGTACAGACAGCAGAGGCTGCTCTTTGATAAATGTGGGCGTCAGGGTCTCATGTCTAATTCATCACAAACTTGAAGATGAAGAAGAGGAGCTTCTACTGTATGCATTGTAATGGAACAGCAAAGTGTAAGACTTTCACCTTATTATAGAACTGTCATTTTATTCATGCACATCAAACAAAAGTGGGTGAGAATTGCTGTCACAGATTTTGGAGGAACTCAGAAGATGATTGGTAAAAAAAGTTTGAGATTGCAAAAGTAAAAGAAGAAACGTCTACTCCAGGGTGGAATGTCGCATGACTTTTCTTTCATTAGTACATCCACCCATTTGTCCTCTGATCCTGCAGAGTAAAGAGCATGACTTGTATGTACATGTGTGTGTTTGTGTGAGGGTGCTTCTGTCCCCGATCTTGAGAAATTCAATTTGTGGATGTCTCGTGTCAGTTATTTGCTAATTTCTCTAAGCGAAGTGTCAGAAGTGAGAAACTACCGGCCGTTAAATAGGCTTTTGGTTCAGGAGGCTGCATCTAAAGCAGACTCTCAAAGGATAGGAGGGGGCGGGGATGAGAGGGGTAGACCCAGTTAAAGAGGATAAGAAGAGTGAGAGGAAGGAGAAGAGGATGAGAGCCAGAAACCGAAGGAAAAAAGATGAATGATTGTATCCTTGAACAAAATAAAGAAAAAAACAAAAGAGAATCAAGATAGAACAAATTAAACTGAGGAGGAGACTGAGAGCCAAATCTTTTTCCTCCCTCTATTATAGAAAGTCTTATATCCTTTAACTCTGCAATTAAATCTTAGAGCCACTGAACCCAGTTCAAACTGTTATGAAAGTATAAGTCATTCAGTGTGTGAGCGGTAATAAGCTGTTTCTGCATCTTTTCACCAATTATCTGTCCTGCTTTATTATCTAATTATGAAGTCATTTATTAATATCTTTGCTAATTGTCCTTGAGCGGTGCAATGTCCTAACATGGTCATTAAAATACATTAAACATAACCACTTGAGAAAATTGGGTAATTCATTACATACATTAAAGCATTAATTAGCAAATATTTTGATGTCAGCATTCTTGTCTTCATACACTGATGGTATGTTTCTAAGCATTGTCATTTTAAAATGAATTCAAGTACTGTCATAAAATAAACAGGTTAAAAGCTCTCTCTCGAGGAAAGCCTCTGGTTTCAGTACTGTGTCACATTTTTTGTTTCATCGCTGGACACAGACAGCTGGTGTGTCTTCTTCTTTTTGTTCATGTTTTAATATTATGTGAGAGAACTTGTCCAGCGTCTGGTTTCCACGTTAAACACTTAATAGAGACAAGGTTTTCTAAATGTTTCATACTAGTGATATTCTGCTCAGTTAACTTGATATACTCTCTGCTGTGTCACTCACAGTCACACTCTTTTTATTTAATTAAACACAGACTTATAATAATTTGATACTATTGTGAATTTGGCAAATGTTTGTTTAAATGCCTTAATAATAAAAAATAATCAATTACCCAAGTGCTCGTATCCTCTCTTACTTTTTTCACACCATATTATTCTTTAATTGCCAATTCATACATTTTGCTTCAGACTGTGTGTGCAAATGTGTGCGTAGCCCTGCATATTCCGAGCAGTCAAGCTTCAATATAAGTGTAATCAGTCGTAATGTGTTTTCATGTGTTAATTGGATATGCTTAATTGACATTAAGCCACAGTGGAAACACTAATTGAAGAACATAGAAAAAGACAGAAAGTACAACTCTCTTTTTTTTTCATATCCAAGAAAGAGTTGTCATGTTGGCTATGCACACAGTATGAAAAACACTCCAGGCAGAAATATGACCTTTAAAGTGCCGCTCTGTCACTTCAGCACAGGAGGGCTACAAAGTGGCGTTTGCATTAAGAAAGATACAAAATATCATTGAACTCTGAAATAGAGCAGTCGGAATTTGCATCCTTAATATAATTTATAATCTAACCTTGTTAGATTTAGAAAAGAAAAGCCTCTCAACAAACATTTTATATTTTTTTGACTTATATAATTGTCAGCATACTTTTTATAATCTATGCAGATGTGAAAATGTTACATGCTTGGCACCAAAACAACTTGGTCAGTAATGCAGGCGATGAGTGGATGAGCAGACAGAGCGTCAGTCTGTTAACAGAGACACACACTTGACTGGTAAACTGAGTTACATTAGGGCATATGAAACAACGTTTTTGTTTCCTGTCTGTAGACTTCTGAGCATAATGATAAGTTTCTTTACACTTGCTCGTCTGTGCGAACTCCCTCCCTCCCTCCCGCTCAGAAGTTGTTTAAAACAGGGGTTCTCATCTTGTGGGTCAGGACCCAAAAGTGGGTCACAGAGCCATTTTCATACGGTCATGAATGTGTGCCTTGAAAGTTACTTGTGTCAAAAAGTATGTGAAGAAATCTTTTTAATTGATGCTTTAGTTCATTTTTTTTTACATCTGTAACGTGTTTTGTACCATCGGAGGTCATTCGCTCAGTTTTCATTAAATAAATCTGATTGGTTGAAAAATATCAGAAATGTGGGTCGCTCATTTCTTATAGAGGAGTTGGAGGTGGGTCTTAAACCACTGGTTAAAAAGTGACAAAAATATCAATAAAATCCAAGTATCAGACAGGAGCTTATGTGAAGACACAATCTGTGTGCTTAATATCAGATAAAGGTAGGCTGCAAATATTTACTCGTCGTGTGCTGCTTGTATTACATGGCTAAATTTTATTACTGCATGTGTAATAGACACAAGTCAGTCTGTGTTAATATGCGGCCTCAATGGCTGGTGGTATTTAGAGTTATGGCTGGTGTTAAAAAAATTCTAGCTTTTAGTAGTGAGCGTGTAAGTGCATGGCTTTATATGTGTATGTTAGAGATTGAGCATGCATGAGGACCCAATGCAAACTAAACTCAAACTCCAAATTGTAGAGAAACATCTAGTTTTGCTGCTCTGACAGGATGATCAGATGTCTTTTGATTACACTGATGGTGTGCGGAAAACCTCTGAAACACCTCAATTTGTGCACAACCTGCTGTGACTTGTATAAGTCTGCAGGAAGTGAAACAAGTCACAAACATTTACAGCAAATGAACAATAAAACTATCACATGTATCGCAGAACGTCTTCTACATATCTCATTAAAAAGGGGGTTTGAAATTGATAACAGATGATGGTTTTAATTGTTTCTGACTTCATGGTGTGCTACAGCACTCCTACTGTACTTCTCATGACTATGAGAGCTAACTCAGGAGGCTACCTGTGAAGACTTAATCATAAATGACCTGAAGCTTTGTTCTGTATATAAAAGAACAGGGTTTGTTCAGGAGGGCTTTGTAATAATGATGGATCTCACAAATGAGTCTCATTGAGATAGAAAGTGCTGATGGAAAACTGTTAGAGAGCTTTTACACAGCTTAATGTGCTCGGCCTCTCTGACTCATCGAGCTGAGCGATCACACAGAGGAACTGAGGGCGAGCCAAAGGCTAAACTACCTTTTCTACTCTCTCTATTTTACTCTCTCACTTCTGTGCTGGAATGGAAATCAGCTCCGTACACATGATGAGGTGCAGCGTTAGGAATACATTCTGCATATTCTGTTTGAGTTTTAAGTGTTTTCGCTGTGCAGCTTTGCTTTGGAGAGTGAACACCAACATGCTCCACGTACACACAGATTCAGATGGCTTGAAGGCCCTCACTGTAAAACTGTTACAATGGAGAAGCAAGGTATTCAATACCAGGAAATAAAATCAGGTCATGTAACTGGACAAATTAATTAAAACAAATACAATGAAGTGAATGAAATTATGTTATACTCCAAAAACATCTTCCTTAAAGGACATCTATTGTACTCAACTTTCACCATTAAATGTGTCAGCCTGAGACTCTTCACACATTGAGTAGCGTTGCGAGATGTGCAGCTCAAAAACCTCCTTATTTATCGTATACTGGTGTCAGTAAAATCTGCTGTTTCAGCCTATGCCTGAAACATTTCAGTTCAGCTGCTGTCTCTTTAAGGAGTTGATTATCTAGGACACTTTTTATGTGGGGTGGGTTGAGTATATGGCAGAAAAAAGATTTGTACAAACAGATTGGACTGTTTATTTTCCTGCATACAAACGGGTAGGGGATCACCAAAGATCCTCAGGAGTGCAGTGATTGTTGCAGTTTATCTTAAAACATTTTCCCTCCTTTTGCCCGTTCTCTCCCATCTTTTTTTTTTTCATCTCTAGTTTCCTCTCTCTACTCTTTTTATTTGTAGCAATCTTTTACAGTATATCTGTCTCGCTTCATTTTCCCCTCTTCCTTTCTCTCAAACTCTGCCTGTCTGTCTGCCTGCCTCTGTCTTCTTCAAGGGATGAAGAGATTACACAGTTCCTCTTCTCCAGGCCAATATTGATCCCCACTCAGCTCAACAAAATCAATAAATCAACAGTTGGATCATACAAAGACTAGAGGCTGGGAGGGAATATGAGAGAGGAATTGAGGAAATAAACCAGAAAACAAAGAATAAAAAGTTTGGGTGAGGGAGAGAAAAATGAAACTAAAAGATGAGGTGTTAATAGCGATTGATTCTGTAACGCTGCAGATTAAAGAAACAAATAAATCCCCATATCTGAAATGTTGACCTAGAAAGGTTTTGAATGCTTCTAAGTGAATGTAATTAGCATATCAAGGCCTAACAAACTTTGATATCATAAATCAAAAGTAAACAGCAGTCATGGCTTTAAGGGGGATTCACTCAAGAGCAACGAGGAGTAAATGAAGATAAGGATAAGGAATCAGGGTGTGTGTGTGTGTGTGTGTGGGTGTGTGTGTGTGTGTGTGTGTGTGTGTGTGTGAGAGAGGTGTTCTAATCCTTATTGACCTGCCTTTGGAAATGGTTCTGCTTGTAGCAGGAGATTGTTCTCTGATAGTCGGAAAGGGACGGAGGCCTGATGGAGCAATCAGAGCTCAGACTATCTCTCACAGTTACTGTCATTTCATACAGGTTCACAATCACACACACATACACACACACACACACACACATGCACACACACAGTCACACATGCCCTCTTAGACATGGACCATCTTCCAGACAGACATTCAACGATGTCTAGCTTCATTAACCTCGTCTTAACTCAGACAGATTGTGGCTGCTGTGAGTAAACTACTTCCTGAACTCTGACCACACCACTGGGATACAGATACCCAGGTCAATAAATGATTTGTAGACTTTTTAGTCTGCAAACACACCAACAGACACACACACACACACACACACAGACAAACGCACACACACACACACACAAGAGCTCTAAAACAGAAGCAGATTAAATACCATGCTTTTTTGTCCAGCAATCATTGTAATTAACCCAGGTTATATGATTAACTACAAACCAAAGAAAAACTGAATTGCCAAAGGTTACATTCACACTGCAAGACAAAGTGACCCAAATCCAATTTTCAAAATCCAAAATTATTATTTTTTTGTTTCTATGTGACTGAGATCTGTCACAACAGTTTGACGTCACTGAGTGTTCTGAACTGGCAGGGCTGGTGGGAGCAGGGCTTTGTGAGTACAACATACAGGTATCATTTGGTTATTTGTCTTTCCTAACCCCCCCAAAATGAGATCAGGACAAACAGTCCTGATTGTTGTTATTCTGTGGCACATGAGGATCAGTTCGAAACCATTACGGCCAGTTCCCACAGGAGTCTAATACAGGGAACATTTAAAAAAAAAAAATCATCAGATCCGAGCAAAAATCTGAATAGAGCAATACGACTTGATGTTTGGGTGTAGTCACACAGTATTTTGTTTAAGGAATCATGATTGATTGAAATGTTCAGGGACATACACCTCCTCCCTGATGGACACTCTAGAGTTATTTGATCGCCTGTCACTGAATGCTGATGGAAGTGAAGGGTTTTGAGGTGACCCTTACCTCCCATGTGATAGGTTCCTCCAGTGGTGATGCTGAGCGGTGAGGTGGACCGCACAGCAGATGCCTCCTCGCCGTCTATCGTCAACATGGCAAAATTCTCCTTGGCGACCAAACGGATCGAGTGCCATTGTCCGTCATTAAGGCTTGAACCTAAAGGATGTAAATAAAAAAAATGATTCAGACAAAATAAGCTCTTAAAGTAGGAGTGGATCAAACATATTGATACAGCAATCATCCTCATCCTGACTTGTATGATACAGTTATTGAATCACTGGTGCCCAATATCGATTTTCCAATTTTAAATAATATATGATGGTGCTTTACCTGTAAATGGAATACCAATTAATTTGACTTTCCATGGCACCACTTCATGACTCATCAAGGTGGTGCTTATGTTATTAATAACGTGAACATAAGAGAAGCTGACAGCGGGGTAAAGGAGGAAAAAGAAGAATTTAAGAGATGATAAGAGGTGAACCTGATACCATATTGCAGAAAAAAAAAATACATTATCCTGAACTTCACCTTTTTAAGGACGTTAAATATCCTTGTAAATTTGTGTAAATAATCATGATAATCATCATATTCTTCTAAATAATCATGTATCATGATTTGATTGTCTTGAAATGTGTGAATTATCGCTGAATTGTGATAGTATCATTATCTCAAGCCACTTACTGTAATGCTTATCGTTTGGTATATCCTGAGTTACTCTGAATTCCCACATCTAAGGTTAAAAATTATAAGCGTCATATTCTGTAATCTTAAATCTTCTTAGAAGGGTTCTAGCTTCAACACATTTACACAAAGACTTCAATAGTTTGAATTAAATTCCAGATCCCCTCATCCTGGGTGAGAAATGTGTGTGTGTGGGGGGCTGAAGCTGAAATCCATTTCTTTCTGTGATAAGTGGCTCTCTATTTCTCTCTTTACCGTCTACTTTGTCATATAACCACTTTTTCTCCACAATCATAGCACCCCTGGGTTTCTTTTTATCCTTTTTTTTTTTTGCCTCAATCCATCTGACTGGTGAATGTGGCTTCAGACAGAGACATGCCCGAAGAAGAGGATCTACCCTCTGCCTCCACCACATGTTCATGACTTCCACATGGCTTCTAATATGACAGTGCCCCCCCCATTTTTTTCTTCTTCTCCACTTTTGTTCTCTAACTCCTTTTTACAAGACGATAGCAGCTTCAAGTCTCAAGGCCCCTGAGCAGATTTCTCTCCATTAACTCACAGAGGACCCTATTTGTGTGTCAGAGAAACATGCATGATCTCTTTTAGTGCTCGTGGGCTTTGATCACTCTGTACAAGTGACTAAAAGTCTGAAACATGTTGCCTTTATGCATTATGTGGATGAAGTGTGTGAGTGTTGGTTTGTGCCTGCAGGTTTTGTACTCTCCTTTTTGTCTCTTTGCTTGTAACTTTGCTCCATTAAATATGAGTGATGTTTTGGAAGGGAACATCACTACTTTCGCTGAGAGAGAAGCCATCTTGCTCCCATCACACTTTCATCCATACATCAGCTCCCACTGACACCAATCTCTATCCCACCCCGCCCCTCCCTGCTACCTCTCTGTCCCTGATTCCTTCATCTGTCTCTCTATCTGTATTACCTGTCCTGTGTTTCTGCATTTCAATTTTTCCTTTATTCTCTCTGTCTTCTTTTTCTCTTGTGGCCATTAACAGCATTGTTCATCTTTTTTTTTAAATCCCAGCTCTCTCCTAACTGCTTCACTGACTGTAATACTTTAATAGTGAAGACACTGCAGATAAATTCAAGGTATGGTCATGTGGTCATGGCAGAGAGCATTAACGTGTGCACCTTCTTTCAAGTCGATGCACATGCATCCAAGCACGTTGCATGTGTCAATACATCTGACCCATGTATTTATGATCTGGTGCTAGCTTCTTCCGTGCCCTTTGTACTGCATGTGATAACTACCGTATATGAAGCGCACTTTTGCATGGTTTATTTCTACCCAGATTGTACCTGTCATTAATGTCCATCAGCAGGGGGACCTACACAGGGGTGTGTATGTATAAAGGGTATGTGTGTGTCGGATCATAGCAGTGACCAAAGTAAAAAGAACAAAGAGCCAAGGTGGCCGCCTGCTGAGGGGTTTGACTGTAAGACCTGTAACACCTCATATCACCAAGGAAAGTAGATATGACAAGTTTAAGTTGTAAATTAATGGTATCTATATGTGTGTGTGTGCACCTGTATAGTGACTTAAGTCCTGTGTATAAGTTTGTGTTCCATTTGGGACTTCACAGTTGTAGACTTTGGGAACACCCCGGTTAGAAGGCAACCTTGATGTGCACCTGTACCGACAATCCCATTTCTGACTATGTATTGGTTTGATGTTATCACCATCAAGCTCGCCGCTCCATCCGCTCCCTCTCTATAACTTCCTGAATGTAATGGAAAACAGATACCGTGCAACCTCCTGTTTTCTCATCTGTTCTACATCACCTGCGATACAGCAGCTTTGAAAGATGAGCTGATCAGTGATAGCAGGGTGGAAACTTAACTCTCACTGCAACTCGGATTAAATAAAAAGACAAATGCATGTTGCTCTCTCTCTCTCTCTCTCTCTCTTTCTTTATCTGTCAAACACGTCAGACTCAGAGGATCATATCAGCTGTCTGCCGCAGATAAAACAAGGACAGAAAATGACAGAGAGTGGAAGAAGGAGGGAGAGAACTGTTCAGATTTTACAAAAAAAAAGTTTGTTTCATGACTCGCTTTTGTGTTGACATTCATATTTATGCAGCAGGATGACGTGCTGAACATTACTTTGATCATTTGAAAAAAAAATATTAAAAAAGAACATACACTATTGGGCAGAGGCGCAGCTTGACAACAGACAAGGCAGGCAACTGCTTGGGGCCCCGGACCAGTAGGGGGCCCCTGAGGGCTGACAAACGTTAAACCGCAGCAGTGGCCAAATATGAACAAATTTTGCAATGACAGTAGGAAACCCCTTAAGTTTGTCAGTGAAAGTCACAGAAGGAAAAGGAAGAGGAAATATCCGACTACAGGAGAGAAAAAAAAGAGACAGGAAAAAAGAGGACGATGAGTAAGGGTGGGCTGGCAGACATATTGGTCCTCCAATTGATTTTTGCCTAGGGCCCCAACAGATTCTAGAGTCGCCACTGACTACGGGTTCACAAATCCCACTCCATCCTCTTAATTCTTCTATAGTACATACTATTGTTTGAAAATAGACAAACAAAATTAGACAAAAATGGCAACCCATTGGAAAAATAACTAAAAACGACCAACAAAGACCAACAATAAATACTACTGTAGAACTTTAAAATACCATTGTTAGGACATTATGGCACATCGTTTCCCTTTCTGTAAGAACAAAAAAATCTTTAAACATGACATTAAACTCTAATTTACATGTCTTTCCTCTCAAACACTCTGTAATCCAATGAAGTGACACGTGTTCTTTTTTGTGGGAACATTGCCAAGACTTCTCTGTTAATGCAGATAAAAGGCACATGTTAAAGCCAATTTTTTAAATGTTTTATCCTTTTCAGTTATTTTCTGGTGTTCCAGGGCAAAACAGAAAAGACGACAAACTGAAACTAAAAGGAAATTAATAAGCTGTGTGAATTCTTGCTTAATACAGTCACTGATGGCATTCTCGTGCTGCACTCTGCACACGATAGAAATTTTACTTGTGATCACTGTAAGATGTTTTTACAGAGTTCATGTAAACCCAAAAATGTCTGAACGGAGGCATTTTAAGTGGGTCGAGGTATCACAAAGAGGACAACTCTGCTGCTGGTTTTGCTGACCTGTCTGTCTGGAACAACACAAGCCTGACGGAGGTTTACAGACGAGTAGCCAGACTAGGATCAATATCTGGGATGTGCTGAGAGACAGAAATTTGTTGTGGTGGAGCAGAGAGGGGAACTGAGGAATATCAACCCTGAACAGCAAAGACAGAGACAAAGTGGATGGTCCTGAGAAAGAGAGCTGAAGCTTTGAATTGACGACATAAAGACATTTCACATGTCAAACTGGCTTCTGAGGCTTCCATGAAAATCTTTTTGTTTCTGTGATTGATGTCGGTAAAATATGTTCAGAATTTGGCATCCAATTCCTGTCCCATCACAGGCACTCACAAATATTGACGAGGCTTACCTGCCTATGGTGTCTGACGAAGCTGACACTCTTTTGATTTTCGCGTGTAAAATATATCTTCATAGATCCTGTTAAAAAGTTTTTTATTTTAGATGATGAAATTGAACAAAGGTTGACAGTAAATTTACTCCATAATAGTTAAAGAGTATTGTGTTATTCCAGAGGTAATTATGGTCAAACTTTCTTAATTAACAAATTAATTGATTTGGAGAAGTGTTGTCGCCATAATAAACTGTGGTTTTTAAAGATGACGAATAATGTTCCCTCAATGACTTTCAGACAGCCTTGCTGAATAAATAAATAACAGTCTCATAAAAAGAAGCGTAGTAAGGCTGCTTCTCTTTTCTTGATTCCTTTATGTCAGGGAAACACTTCACACTTGAATGTCAGGATCAGAATAAAAACAGCAACGCAAGTTACAGTAAACACTGTCCATATGTTTATGAGTATATTCAGGTCAATGTTAAGAAGGTTTATGTTGAAAAATGTTGTTTTTGTAAATAACTGAATATAAATAAATTAAATATCTAAATTGTATTAAATCAAAAACATTTACAAGATGACGTTTCATTGTACAGGCTCGAGATAGATGGTCTCTGCTTCATACACTTCTGGCTGCATACATTTTAAATGATAACATGGACTCAGTAAATAATAAATCCCCATGATAAATCGGGAAATAGATGTAGGAGTAATCTTAACATGTAGAACACAGGAGGGTGCCAAGTGAATTCTGGTCAGATTCAGAGGTAGAAGGTGATTACATTGATAACCCCTCATCAGCACAACAGAAGTATCAGTCACTTTAAAAAGACAAAAGGACTTTTAAAAATACAATTCTTTCCCTGAAGGCCGTTGTCACACCAAGGAGACTGTCGGCCAACATATTGGAAAATATCACACAGTGAAAAAAAGATCATGGTTATAAGACTTACATTTTGTTGCACTTTCCTACTGCAGTAACTTTCCTTATCCTTACTGCTCCTTCTTTCTACCCTCCTCTCCCCATCATTCTTCTCCCCTCCTCACAGTTCTCACTTGTTTCTATTAAATATTGATCCTGTATATACAGTATAAATGAATTTTGTCTGCTATGAATTTATGGCATCCTCTGGCATCTATGAATTTATCCTCCCCCATCTCCTTCTCTCCTCAATATTCTGTCCTCAGAGGTAGTTCGGAGAGCTTTGCACGTCCTCACAGGTGGCAATCTGCCAGCCACATGGAGCTTGAAAACTCAACATTCTAAGCCCTGCCAACACAAACACACACAGATAAACACACACGCACACAGGCACAGGGATTCACACGCACACTGGGGAAATGAACCAATATAACATTATAATCAAGGGTGGCTGTGGTATGTTTTTCCCCGCGAATCTGTGCCTCAGGCCTTTCCATTATTGTGATTCCTTCCTATTCGGACTGTGCAAGTAACCCAGTGAGTGTGTGTGTGTGTGTGTGTGTGACTGATGGTAATTCAGCATCTCAAAGGAACTGATGTTATTACTTGGAGCTGAGTTGATGGGTGTGAAGGCACGCATGCAAGAACACACAAACACACACGCACAGTTTTAACACAGCTAAATGTTTCTGCTGAAGAAGTGGCTCAATCAAACAATTGATGCTGCCTGTGGATTTGTCCAAATGTTCAATGAGCATTGCCTCCAACTGAGAACAGTTTGTGACCATTTTCAACCAGTGGAGTCAAAGAGACTGATTTACAGAAACAATGAAAATAATGACTACATTTTTTCAAAAGACTGAGAGCAAGCTGTTGAAAGAGTCCTTCTTTCAAAAGTGGAGCTGCTTATACAATTGAGAAAAAACACGCTCTATAAATAGTATACAAAGGGAAAAACATCAACTACAACTAGAAATGTTGGACATAGTGGTACTTGATTTCTCCTTTGTTTTTGTCTCGATCAATATGAAGAAAATATAGTTTCGAATTGTCCTCAGATTAATCATCATGATGAGTTTGCTTTTCTTTTTTCTTATTACTTTCATTTTCATTTATGAAAAATCTAACAGCAGTACAAGAATATCTCTATAATAATCTCTGCACAAGCACCGGAGACAATGAGTATTGTTTCCATGGAAACAATGCAGGTATCCAATAATTTGACAATAAATCAAGGGCGGGATCAGTGGAAAACATCCTCAAAAACACACACTCAAAAACAAACACTAACACTTCTGTATCAGGTACAAAAAGCAGCTTTTATCCCCTCTGGATTTGGTTTGTTCATCCAGCTGTACGGCCATCAGGGCAACACTTTCAACACCGACTCTTTCAAGCTGTTGTACTATACAGTCATATAACAATGACTGTTGAGAGAAAGTGAAAAGACTTGGAGAGTCAATGAGTAAGGAAGGAGGAGAGTGAAGGGAAAATTAGATCAGCGTCCCAACAGGAATCCCCAGTAAGTACTCTCTATTAATAGACCCACAACAAACGTTCACACAGGCGTATCATTAAACAGGAACCAACAGTCTAATGTAGAGTGTTCTCTCAGAGGCCTCATCATCCCTTTAGTTTCATCCTCTGTCTCTCTGCTGGAGATAAAAGGAAGAGGGTGAAATGACAGAAGAAATCTCAAAGGCGAGAGAGGCATGTTTCTGCAGGTCACAAACAGCCTCAGGCATGTTCTTGCTAAACACATCCAAGACACACCTTTTTTTGTATATGTGTGTGTGTATGCACAAGTAGATTACATTGATGTGTTTCTTATAAAAGGCTGATTTATTGTACCTATCACTCTGTCTGCAATCAGGGTCTGAAATATCTCTGAGCAGGGATACATGTTTGAGGCATTGAAGAGATATTAATGTGATGCAATCAGAGATATGACGCTTTAATTCACCCCCTCTTTTCTATTATCCAACCTCCGTTTGTCATACTACAACTGTGCATTCACTCGGGTTTTGGGGGGGGGAAGACATTCGAAAGCTACAAGTCTGACTTAAAAAGGTAATCCTCAAACATAATGAAGGTTGATGAGGCATGCCTTTTTGTTGAATGACAAAGGAAGCTGCAAACTATGATGCTCATTCTTAGTGCAAGCAATAAAGCGTTTATAAATGATATGATTTGGTTTTAACAACAAAGAATCATTATTATTTTCTATTATGATTAATGGTGCAACAGTTCATTAGTTTCAACAAACTCATCCATGTATCTCTGATAAGCTAATATGGTTTCTGTGTAGACAAAGTGACGGTTGTCAACGATTCGTCGAACACTTGGCTCACTTTTTTACACGTTAATTCACACTGTTGGTAAAAATCAGGTGGTGCAAATAATGCGAGAGTTTCTGAACAACAGTACATCACACAAGTGGTTTCTAGGAGTTTTTCTCTATATAGTTCACATTTGACCACATAAATATGGTGTGTATAAATGTACGGCTTTGTTTGCGGGCAAATTATCTCACAATTATCCCAGCCTATCTTACAAATTGCACCCGCATATTTGGTCTGCAGGATTATTCTTATCTTCCAATAAGACAGATTTTCCTTCTCTTTGCATCGTGTAGCCTCTTTCTGTCTCGTACTATTGAAAAATAATACGGTAAAACAATACGTTTTACCTTCCAGCAGAAGCCTAATTATGTGTCTGAATAAGTCGCCGTTAAACAGCTTCATAAACAAACTATCCCCACTAGGAGAAGAAAACTGTGTAGTCTCTGTAAGAACCTCTCTTATCTCACTCTAACTCTGTCCATTTTAACGTGTGCACATCTGCAGGTCTCTCCCTGATATATTTGCCATTAAGCGGGACAAAGCATTTCATTACTCTTGAGCTCCCACTGTGTCTTTGGAGCCATACGAGTGGCTTAAGAGAGACGTTAATAACACAATCAAAGCAGGGGGCTTGTGTTTGGGTGTGCTAGTCTGTGTTTTCATGGCTGTATATTCTGGTAATTCTGATTTAATCGCAGGCTCAAGCCCAATTAGCCTGGAGGCTAACTCCATATTAATCCCTTCCCCTGGGCATAATGGCCTATTAATGCTGCAGTGGTCAGAATAAACAAGTGCGTCTAAGGATAGAGAAAGAGGGAGGCAGGGAAAGACAAATGGTGGGAAAGGAGGAAAAGAAATGGAAATGTGTTTACAGAGGACTGCCGTGTGGAAAAATAATTTTTAAATGTACTTTTAAAAGCTATCATGAACATAACTGTATTATTTCTGTGTGATATACTGACTACTGCGTTATCTCTCGTTTTTTTTTTATAATGTTTTTTTGGGGCTTTTTGTGCCTTTAATGGAGAGATAGGACAGTGGATAGAGTATGAAATCAGGGAAAGAGAATCGGGAATGACATGCAGGAAAGGAGCCACAGGCTGGATTTGAGCCTGGGCTGCCCGCTTGGAGGACTACAGCCTCCATACATGGGGCACGCGCACTAACCACTGCGCCACCAGCTCCCCGACTAATCTCTTTTAACTGCATGTTAGTGTTGTCAGGATAGGACTGATGCTGTGAAAATGTTGAAAGAAAATCTAATTCAGACCAGAGAAATCAAGAGTTTTAGAATATGGCTTGTATAATGTATTCCTGGCAAGAAATGCACCTTCTGCACTCAGGCTTTAAAAGTCAGGACGACATTGTCTAATTATTTGCATAAACTTGAAAGTGCATATTAAGCAAAATACACTACACTATTATGTGTTCCTAGCTCGTCTACAAACCCACCAATTTTTGAGAAAGTCCATCCTCTCCCTCTTTTGCCTGCTCCACTTTTCAGAAAGCGTGTGCTCAAACAGGCCCTTTGGAGATTTTCTCTACCATGTGTGTTTTTGGGAGGTCATCTGTTAGGAAACTCACCTGATGATAAGTCGACCTGGTTGTTGCTCTCCCCCTTCGTCACGTTGATATGAACCATCACCCTGCTCTCCTCCAGGGAGATCTCCAATGTGCCATCATCCAGGTTACTGAAAAGAAGGAGTCCATCGGGGTTCCAGGTACGAAACTGGAAGCTGACAGATATCGCGTTGTGATCGGCTCGTCCCGGCAGCTGCAGGAAGCTGGTGGCGTTAAAAAAGACAGAGAAGCTGTGGGTCTCCACGCAGGAGAAGGACAGGTTACGCTGTAAGGACACAGATAAGAGAAGAGAGCAGAATAAAAAGACGAGATTAATTTGTATTTAAAGGGAAACGTGAAAGTCAAATGTACTCCCTTGACTGTGGGCTTCTATGTGAAGTTGTTTGAATGAATCTTTTGAAAGGGATTTTGTTTTCTTTCGAGTCTCACCTCTGCACGATTACCTTCAGATGTTCCCACCGATCCTCAACCAATGCTGCAGGTACACCTTACAAAAACCTCTCTTTTTGTCTTAAGTCTTTTAAATCAGGGATGAACAACAACTTCGGGCTGATGCTTCAGCACTCTCGGCAAACAAACACTCTTGTTGAATTCAGGAACTAATTACCATTGAGCTTCTCCAACCTTGTGCTGATTATCGAATCATTAGCAAACACCGTACATTGAGCCACCTCCCGATAAATACATGCTTTCTGATTGCCTGACCCTTTATGTGTTTATATCTGAAAGCAAGTTTTTCTCGGAATTGATAGCTGTGTGCGTCATAAAAGGGAATATGAGGTGAGGCTTCCATTAACTTAATTAGCGTCTTTGTTTTATCAATCGGTTCACAAAAGATCGAAGGTGATATCCTTTGTGTTCACTGTTCAGGAAGAACTGGGAGATATGAAAGCCTGGCTCACACTGCACGATAATCGGGCCAATATGAGCTACGATTCTTCCTACCCGACAATCGCAGGGTCGCTCCCGAATCGAGGCTGCTCTGAACCGATTATCTGCTCAGATTATCTTGTAGTGTGAGTTGTACAAAGATCCAATCTTAACGTCCCCGATCTGCCCGGCGATCGTCGGGGACGCCACGATTATTTCAAACATGTTTGAAATTTAGAATTTAAAATCTTGACGATTATGTCATGAAAAGGTTCGGGCAGCAGTTGTGTGTGACTACAATGTAATCGCGAGAGACATAGGAGGACAATAGTCATGGCGACCAGTGGCAGGACGCAATCAGGCGTTTTTTTCTTTTTGGAGTTTTCGGTACAGATCATCAGGGCAGCACTTTTCTGAAAATTGTATCCATATATCTATTTTCCTCTATCCTACAACAACTTCCACTTCCTTCTCTTTCACCAAATGCCGGCCGTTGGAGTTTTCAAAATAAACTTTATTAACAATTGTCAACGCTCCGTCCCGATTTGATTCATACAGTGTGAGCTCGCCGGCCGTGCCCGACAATCGGGTCGTAAAGTGTGAGCACATAAATCGCAAGGTCTGGTCGGGCGTCATAAATGACTCAGTCATACAGTGTGAGCTGACATGCCACCCCGACTTTTATACAATCGGGGGAAAATTGCACAGTGTGAGCCAGGCTTAACAGTGTATCATCAGCTGTTTTGACCTGAATACAAACCATCCTACAGTCTTTTGTGGTGACAACTGGGTCTTTGATAGGTCGTCTAAGATGTCAAACACATGGAGGGGCCACTGATGGGTCATATGAATCTGACACTTTTGGGACACAGAATAAATTACACTCACAGGTAGTTGATAATAAGAGGTATGTTCAGTAACCAGCTGACTCAATGAGCATGTGGTTTCATGTCTTTAGGTTAACCTATTTCCATGTGAGTTGTCTTATGTTTATACTTTCATGTCTATCTTAATGCAAGTGTGTGTGTGTGTGTGTGTGTGTGTGTGTGTGTGTGTGTGTGTGTGTGTGTGTGTGTGTGTGTGTAGTCTTACAAAGCTGGAGGTGTCAAGTTTCTTTCTGCGGGCCAGGTCTGTGATGTTGTCTCCGTTGTAGTTGATGCTCTCCATGCAACCTTTAAAGTTCTTCCTCCCTCCTCCTAATGGCTTCCCACTGTATGGCATCCCTCCAAAACTCAACTGGATAAAAACAGAAGAAAAAAGCTTTAAAAAAAAAAAAAAAAAAAAAAAGCGATTTTCATGTCACTTCATTGCTCAAAAATTTCAAACGGATACGATACAGTTTACAACAACAAAGTATGATTGTGGCATTGTTGAAACAGAAACAGATGAGCTTTATTGGCTAGGTTAATTAACATTTGAGTATTTTGACTCCATTGCTCTCAGTGAACATATGCTGAACACACAAAAACAAGCCCAGTACAGTCAACTTGAACATTAAGAACATTCAACTACTCATAGAAAAAAGAATCAAATGGACTTCAATGAAATACTGTGATCGAATGTATCAAATTCACCCCAGAAAATTTAGTGATAGGTCAAACTGTGAGATCTGTGAGGACATATGTAATGCGAGTTCTGGGAGTCAGCGTTAAAGAAAGAAGGCCGTGGAGAACTGAGGCGAGGAGACGGAGGCTAATAAAGAAGCATCTGGTGGGAAGTGCTGAAGGACACGCAACTGATAGCAATGCTTTATGTTTCATAGTTCTTCCACAGCTGTACATTCTTTTTTTTTTTTTTCAGACACAGCTCTTACCAGTCGATGTGTGTCTGTCTATCTCTATGTGTGTATGTGTGTCTGTATCTGTCAGAGGTGATGCTCCAGTAGTCTTCATAATTACTGCCAAGGGTAGACACAATTGCATCCGGATATTTGGTCTGCAGGATTAAATGGGAGTGGGAAACAAAAAGCGCACACACACACACAAACACAATCATCATGCACAAGATGGTTTGTGCAGACTAGATGTAGTACATGGGTACACCATGAGTAAAAGCTGGTCACAATTTGTCTATCTTTAGCTGGAGTCATTCAGGCGGTAACACCAGGGAGATCCATTCAGAGTTCCCCCCTCTCTCTCTTGTTGTATAGATTTCCCCGAAGATCCCTTAATTCAACAGCTTCACTTTAATTGGACTGTGGTTTGTCCTGCCCCATGTCTCAGTATCCTACTTAACACTGGAACAGATCAACCATATTAGCATGTCTGCCAAAGGTCACACCCTCAAAACACATCAATACAAACACACAAACACACAAACACGTACAGTACACACACCGGTACACAGCTTCACACATGCTCTGTAAATCACAAGGGCCTTTATGCTTTGCTGTGTGTTGTTATGTATGTGTGAATGGGATTAATACTTTACACATGGGTAGGTGAATGGGTAGGTGCGATATATAAGCGCTTTGAGTAGTCAGCAGAGAAAAGTGTGATACAAGCTCAAGTCCATTTACCATTTTACTTTTTGCATTAATTACACTAATTACTGGAGTTTTATGGAAAAGGATTACAGCTCAGTGTAAAAACCAATATCTAATTTCCTGAGTGAACTCAATGCACTGTACAGACAGAGAAAGGCTTCCACCAGTGATAAAGTTTTTTTTTTTTAAATGTAACAGAAAAATCTCTGGAAGACCAGAAGATTAGGTAACATGGTCGAAACAGTCTCATAAAGAAGGTCTATGTATAAGTAAGGGTGAGAGTTTGTATTTTTAATCCTCAGACTACCTTGTTGAGACTTCCAGCAATTTAGGTGAGTTAAGATTTTATCTGAGAACTTTTCACAATATCACACTCAATATTTTAGGGAGACAATCAGGACAGCCCAAGGCGCCTCAAGCAGAAGTATTATTCTTGATCCTAGAGGACTGAAGTTCATATCCATCAATAAGCTCCAAAACATAAATACACAACTCAAACTTTAGTGAAACAAAGCCTGCAAGTCTGTTCAAGCAGGCAAGACTTAATATTCATAACCACCTCTTTGCAGCATACACCCAACAACCTTTTTATTATTCAGCAAAGCAGCCATGCCCCCCCCCCCCCGCACTGCACCGAAAATGACAAAATTTCCATATCATCAGTGACCCTCAAATCCAAAGTTCACATCTTTACACTGGTTACATTTCATAATGTGTGCTTGCCTGCAAAAATTAAAAAACTCAATAGAACATTGTATTTCAACTTCTTCATGTGCACTGACAGACCTTTTACACTTGCCTTGCACTATGCGCCTCTCTTTGGCATATAATAGGAACAACACTTTTTTTCTATCATGAACTTGTTTGTGTGTTAGAAAATTGAGCAGAATAAGTTGTTTTTTTTCAACAAAACTGTACTCAAAAGGTTTTTAAGTAAACAGGACATTATCATTCTTTTAACTTGGTTTTTAACCTCTGCAAAACTGACACATTCCGAAAATAGATCACCTTGTTTCATGAACTATAACTCAAATAGATATGACATCGCTCATAACACTAAAACATAAACAAGCCCATTACCAATTACCTTTATCGCACTGTAGTAGTACTCTTTTGCACAGTGGTATTTGTGTAAATGTGCAGAAAAAAAAAGGTTCAAACAAGGTCTGTTAGCTAAAACCACCAAAACTTTATGTTTTCACCATTGTTTAGTAAGAACAGGTGGAAATGCTAATGCAATTTCTTGCCTAAACCAAAGCCCCAAAGCTGCACTGTGCTAATCTGCATCAACAGCCTTTGCCTAGATTCCATTTTTCGAAACAAAATCTAGTTTGTTACATTTAACACATAAGGATGAAAAATGTACATTTCCCTTCAAACTAACCCCAAGCTGCTTACACACTAACAAGCATTACTCAGGAAAAACACAAAAAAATAAATAAGTCAGCTTATTTTTTCGTTATTCACTTTATCCATCATGGTCTTCTAGCTTCTTTTCTACATATCCCCAGAGACTGACTATCACAGCTGTTGAATCATTTGATACCAGAAGGTTTTTGTAGAAACATGATGTCTTACCAACTTACAAGTCTCACAAAGGGGTCGCACATATTGCCCAGGTGTAGGTGACCTTTCTTGTCTGTGCTGCTGCAACGCCCAAATTTCCCCTCTGGGGATCAATAAAGTACTATCCTATCCTATCCTACATGACATACATGACGTGACATAATTCTCTGTTAGTACCTGGTTGTGTGTTTGGACATTCATTCATTAAATTAGTTCTTGGTTTTGGACTTCAAATGGGAAAAATGTTAGCTGTATATTCAGTATCATTTTTTTCTAACCTCATAGTCCAAATCGAGGTGGTCAAACTCTCCGTTGGTCCTGAAGTGCTGAGTGTGTCTGTCCAAGGTGAAGTTAACGTTACGACGGTATCGTTCAAGAACCACTGAGTGCCAGTGATTGTCGTCCAGGAGGCTGCCAGTGGTCACAGAGGTATGACCCAGGATAGAGCCGTACTGATTACTGCCTGGAATGGACAGAGCATTACAAAAGAAGTTAAATAACACAACATTTTTGTCGCTTGATTTTTAAAGGCCAGAAATCATTTCAATATTTTGGGTAAATATTTGTTACTAATATTTTAATATTATATTAACATTACATAAAAAAACAAAAAATTCTGAAAGAAGTTCAGGGTTATTTCCAAGCCTATATATTGATGCTATTCTTTGCTTTCTCCTTTGAAAGCTGCATGCATTTGGCCCAGTAGCCTAACTGTAAAATAAAAGACTGGAGAAGAAACTGGGAAAGTTCAGCCAAAGAGAAATGACCTCATATTGCATATTAAATATTTAAAGACTGTCTGAGTGTACTTGTATTGTATGTCTTTCATATAGTTTTAAAAACACATTTCCTTAATGTTTGCCTACTATCAGAAGGTTTCACTCAATGACTGAAACCAAAACAGCTACATTGAAAACTCTGTGGCAGAAGGGTCGTCATGAAGACAAACTTTGCATTTCTTTTCTTTACTCAGATAACCTCTTTTTTTTAAAGGTTTTATTTTGGGGCTTTTATGCCTATATTGTAGAGATGGGACTGTGGATATAGTGAGAAAAAGGGAATAGAGAGAGAGAAAGAGAGAGAGAGAGAGAGAGAGAGAGGGGAATAATATGAAGAAAAGGAGCTACAGGTCGGATTCGGATCCGGGCCTCCCTCTACAATGACTATAACCGCTGTACATTGGGCACGCACACTAACCACTGCTTTGCATTTCTTTAGGAAAGGAATGGCATGCTTGTGTTACTCACCCAGGTTTATCTGTATCTGTAGTTTGGCCTTGCGAAGTTCGAGTGTTATATAATCTCCCTGTTGGCCCTCCCCATGAAGAATCACACCCTCGCTCTCTGAGGTCTTAAACCTCAACGCAATCACATCTTTAATGATCTTCATCTTTTTCACCTGGAAGGTGAGGAAAATAAAGGAACACACAGATGTGGATGTTCAACACAACAGTGACACATTTTCAAAAATGAAAAATGTGAACAAAGTTATGGATTTTCATAGCTTTACTCCTCATTAAAAAACAACAACAACCAAAATACCAGCACTTACCCATCAAATATGTTTCTCACATATCACAGTGCTATTTGCAGTGTATCACTTTTCTGAAACAATATGACTTCATAGGAAGAGCTTTAGTCAAAATAGCATTTAGTAAAGTTTTTATATACTGTACCTTGAAACGGTATGAGATGACACCTTGTCCGTCAAAGTTGATCACGCCAGCCCCTACAAGGGAAACAGATAAGAAGAGTAAAAAAAAACATAATGCAAAAGACAGGAAGACAGAGAGAGAAGGAAAAGGAGCAAGGGATAAATGATTAGTGATGTCAACTGTGACTGCAGATAAGGAGAAGAAATAACAACAACATCATCTTACACTGAAAAAGAGCATACTAAACACATTCATTGATATAGCACATTGCAGCAACAAGGCAATTCAAATTGCTTAACACAAGACATCATCAAAAGCATCCAGAAAAAGAGAAAAATAAACATTGAAGGAAGAATGTGCGACCGGTCTGGGTCACTGCTCGTGCGGACTACCGGCCGGCTCAATTATTTAGTATTAACCTAGCGTTTATTCCTTTTTTCTACCGTTTATTTTTTCGATATGTAGATTATAACATGAATCAATCACAAGAGGAGGTTTGTGAGGAGATACCAGGGAAGGGAAGGGTATTTTTCTGTTTAACCAGAATCCCACTGTGACTGAAATCTGTACCCTTTCTTCCTTCAGTCACATCCAGCGCTCCTATGTCACGACTCACTTAAGATATAATTGATTTTCTGTTGATCCTGTGTTAATCAAAAGTGAAAAGAGCATGTCAATTCCACAGCATGCTGGATCAGGACCCTTTATAGGCTCCTGCTCTGGCACGGACACATAAACACAACGTCTTGTTATTGCACAATCCCAGATGACTCATAATATGGTGTTGCATTTAATTATAATACATTTCCAAAACCCCAAATTATCATCTAAAACATATTTGGTGATTAAGATGAGAACACAACATCTATATTTATCTGCCTCCCTCTCCTCGTCATTACTTGTCTTTGTTCTTTCTTTCATCTGCTCTTTGTCGCTGCACAACACTTTACTTCTTTTCTCTTTCATCACCGGATCAGGAGGCAGGGAAACATCTAGAAGAAGTCGACTCTAACATAACTTGGGATTTGAGGTGTGAAGAAGAACAGACAAATGTCTGACTTCTCATTTTCTGAAAGGAGCAGTGACAGTGCAATCATGAGAGAGCACTGCAGGCCTCATAGAACAGCTGACAACTCTGAAAAATGACTCCCCAAAGAGGGGGGATCGAGTGTGTACAAGTGTAGATGTGAGTGAGTGTCTCTGTCTGTCTGTGTAATCACTATAACCTGAGGTGTGAGCATGTGCTCTTCTGATGTTTATTGATTATGTGTCTCATTTGATTATTATAAAGGGGTGGCGGACAAAGTTCATAACTGTCATAAAAACAGAAACTCCTCCTCATTCTCTCAGTTACAGTTCTTTATCTTAGTCTCCGTTCAAATGTTTTTTCTTTCAAATGTAGTCAAGATGGATGATGCATCTCTTTACCAAAGTGAAGCCAAAATACCGCCCTGCAATGGACGCTTTGGAGCCAGAGTCTGCAGGATTGTCCCAGCAGTATTGACATCTCGCCCCTTCAGCTAACCAAAACACACATCATTATGACAAAATGTTTAAGATCCTTCAGGTGAGTATTATCCATAGCAGCACAGAGTCTTGTTTCGGTCTGATAAAAGACGATAAAACGATCACTGAAAGTTTGATGATTGTAGTATTTCATAATGTCCCTGTCCCTGTTCGTACTCTTTACTTATCCTGTACTGAATGCTGTAAGAGCCTTAATTGTCAATCCTTTTGTTTTTTACCCCTTTATAAGTATTATTTCATTTAATTTTATTATTACTAATTATAGAACTAAACTTCTCAGAAAAATTGACACTTTGGCAGAAATCAGATATTAGAGAAGAACTGATTTAATGTGTATGCATGCCCCAGACAGCACAAGGACCAGGAGTCAAACCTGCAACCAGGACTGTAGCCTCTGTGCATGAGGCGCCTGAGAAATATATTGTTATAGATTGAATTAATGCTATTTTACTTCATAGCGCTGCACACAGGAACCTGAAGCAGGGAGCAGTTTCACCTGGACTCTTTACGTCGATGAACAACACCCGTACCTTGTTGTATGCGTTGTTTCTGTATGTTTGCATACAGTTCACTACAGACCTTTCTCCCAGGTTCAACATATATATTGATCGTTATTGCTTTGTGCATTTGCGCATACACTCGCACATCTCTGTGTTTGCACCACCTCTTGTCTTACTTATTATTACTGACTTGCTTTTCTTCTTACATGGTCAGAAAAAATATAATCAAAGAGGTGAAGACTGACTGGAATGCAATACATGCCCTTGTATTCACTAAGACACATGCACACTCTCACAGACGTATCCACACAAAGTGAAATCCCATCTCCAGAATGAAGGATGTATGTGTGTCACTCATAATGTTAATTCATGCAGAGGCTTAATTGAAAATTGTTATCAAAATCAATTTGGCAGCCTTTAATAGGATGAGAGCGAAGAGGCTGTGTGAGAGTCACTTCCCTGGACGATACATTTATAAGAAAGAGAGACAGTGTGTGTGTGTGTGTGTGTGTGTGTGTGTGTGTCCGTCATTCTCTTACTGTGTACTGCATATTCTGCAAGTTTTTTTTGAGAGTTTTATGTGTCATGTTGGGCACGTTTAAGCTTGAATTAACCAAATACCCCTTATTTTCTCACCTTAAATAAAGATTTTGGCTGTTCATATAAATACTTTCTTTTTTTTTTACTAAAGCGTTGACCGCAGTGGTCACATAAAAGGCCTTTCAAATAGGACGCGGAGTGCACCACGCTTGCCCTGGGGTATGGTGCAGAGCAGATGGGGAGCGTGCAAATCAACAGCGCAAGTTGCTATGGTGACCGAAATAAACAGTTGGGAAAGTAGCCTTTCCTCTGCTGAGGAGGAGAAGACGAGCAGCAGCGAGGAAGAAGGTGTGTGTTCATGAGATCCTTAGCGCACAGTAGGATTTAGGAGAGTTTAGGCTCGTCCAGGATGTGAAGCTCTATAACGACTGTTCCACAAGCACGACACACATTTCTGCTGCTTTTTTAAACACATCTGGAACTGTTGGACATTTTTTTTTTTTTACAAACTAAAGATTTCTCTGCTGTCCCGTGAAGGCCCTTGACATCAGGACTGCCTTCCACCTGATGCCTCTAGCACTGTACATCAATGCATTTTTTTATTCACTCTAACTGTTGTCAGAGAACATAATTCATGCAGCCTTTTTTACAAGCATGAGAAATTAGACAGAGTTGACTTCAGACTGTGAGTATGTGTAAGCGTGTGTCAGTCTCCACTCACAGTAGGAGCAGCCGTAGACTTCTATGCGCAGACCGATCCGTCCTTCCTCGCTCCAGTCCAGCGGGACGAGCCGTAGGAAGCGTGCCACAAATCCCTGCTGCAGCTCATGGCGGACTGAGCTCTCGGAGTTGGAGTTCCCAGAGAAGGCCTGTAAACACACACATACACACAAACACATTTAAATTAAATACATCCAAGCCGCAGGCCTGCAGTCTAACAAGCAGCTTTAGGAAAAGTGCATGTGTATTTGTTCCACTCATCACATCTTGCCTTAAGGTGCAGAGTCGCAAAACATACATAATAATTAGGACTCTATTTACAGTCTATGCTCTAAATATCTAATGTGCCTGCCATAAGACTCTCTGACTACAGAGGGTTGGAAGAAGAAAGTGTGTCTTGTTTTCAGCTCAAAGTACATGTCAGACACTCCCTGTTCACATCGCTTCATATTTAAGCTGATTTCAGACTCTCCAGAGATTCACTGAGGCTTGTGATGAGGTTTACAGTCTCTTGTCTTATTACCATTTTGTTCTACACATTTGTGCACTCTCTTAAATCCCAGCCTGGGAAAAATGGTCTGATGTCTGTTGATGTTGTTTTTTTTTAACTTTACATGCAATTTGCATGAACAAAAAAGTATTTCAGATACCGGATGGGATAAAATCACATCTAAGCACCACTTTCTCCTTCAGTACAGTGGAGAGACAGTTAAGTCACAAGTTACACAAAAACAGCTCACAGTCATCTTGTGAGGGAGATCACACTGTGTGGAGCTAATCATCTTGGTCAGTGTCGGGTGTGTGTGTGACTGATTGGCCCTGATTTGGTCCAGATGTGTCAAGGTTATATGTACCACTGAGTTGCAGCAGTTTGTGCTTGACTTGACTTTCCTCGGTGGGTTTACTTATGGGTTCCAGCAGATCTACAAGTGCAGTTTGTTAGTGCTGGGGAATGTCTGACCCAGCCTTTTTGTTTCTTTGTAAACACAGGCCTGATGGGGTCTCCCCTTTAATCTAGTTTCTTGTCAGCTGCTCGGCAGCAGTGGTTTTGTTTCTAATCTTGTTTTTAAGAGAGCCTTTTTGGTTTCTTGTCCCCTCCTATTTTATTGCAATTTTAGTGGTTATCCCTCTGGGATAACCTTAAGATACCCAGGGTCAGCAATTGCGTCCCACTTTCCCAAACCCTTACACATCTGGCAAGAAAAAGGCTACATCAAATTGGTAGGTATTTGCAGTGGTGTAGTGGTGCGTAAAGAAGTTTTTTTGTGGCATGTCAAGCAGGGGATAATCTGCCTCTGTTATAAACAGTGATATCTATAAGACTCCTTCTGAATATTTAGTTAGTGCTAATGAGCCAGTTTAGACGGAGCAGTGAGAGTCACCCCTTATCCATCCTAGGAAAAAAATTGCAGAATACCACAGATATTGTGAATTCATTGGTGTGAATCAGTGGGGATTTAGAAGTTTTTATACCCTATGGAGACTGAAAAATAAGTGGGTATACTCAGTACACCTGCTTATACCCTGCACTACACACCACTTGGTATTTGAGTAGACCAAGCTAAATTTGGTCATTTGTCAGTGGCACCAGTCCATATGAATGTGGCCATTTCCAAAGCTTTCAGGAAAGGGACAGATAATCAGGAGAACACCCCCCCCAACACACACTGTTTTACCTTCTAGTCCTCTAAATCCTCCTTTCCCATCATCCTTTCCTTTTACTATTCAGTTTCCACACTGTTCTGGCTCAGGATTTGAAGCACATAAAGGCACAAATGGATCAATTTGCATGCACACACGAAAGCACATATGCAAGTACACACACAACCGCCCACACATCACCTTGCCATTTAAACCTTCCTGAAACGTTCAAATACTATATCACCCATAAGCTCATTTCATAGTTTGAAAAAAATATTTCAAAAAATGTCTGAATTCTGTCTGCCTAAGGATTTGGCAGACTGTAAGAACGGCTACTTATTTTTGTCCAATTCCCGTCCCATCCATTTGTAAAGCTATGAGAGAAAGAGAGAGAGAGATAGAGAGAGAAACTGTTTGCGTCTTCATGCCCTAACAGCCCAATCCCCCTGTGCCGATTTTCCAGCTTCTTTTTTGGGGATTTCGCTATTGTGTTCTTACTCCTATTTGCCACTTATCTGTGCTTGGCTGAATGAACAGCTCAATTCAAAGACCTTACTATGCAGAGTGGAGGGCAGAAGGAGGGATAGGGGAGTGAATAAAGGAAGAAGAGGAGGATGAAGACAAAAAAAGGAAAACAATCTTATGGATGCTGAACACCTCGGAAAAGTCTGCCTAGTCAACCATTTAATTCCTTCTACTCCAAAGTCAAATCACTAACCAGCAAACCAATGAGTCATTGGGTTTTTGTGTGTGTGTGTGTGTGTGTGTGTGTGTGTGTGTGTGTGTGTGTGTGTGTGTGTGTGTGTGTGTTTGTGCAAGTTTGGCAATTCATTTTGCTATATGTGTGTAAGTGTTGGGCAACTTAAGAGCTTAGATACACTTTGCTTTTTGATTAATCAAGAAGAGAAATCATTTACGGTGAGAAAGGCCACAAAGTGCCCTAGGCAACTTTTTCATTTGTGTGCATGTCTTTATAGATTGTTAAGCCTAGTTAAAGCCTCATATTAATATATATATATTTATTCAATGTAAAAAAGCTATTTTAGAAGTGAAGTGCAGTACTGCATAAAAAAAATGGTGCACTCGGGAATCATTCCGAAATCCAACCGAAAAATATCTGTTTTGAAAGCTTCTGTGGGTATATGCATACATTTAAATAAATATTACACAACTGAACATGCTGTGTTTCTACAATTTAAAGTAAAACCTTGAGTCAAAATCCAAAAAGTATGGAGCTGAACATTTTTTAGGAGTCTACAAGATCAGTGGAGGAAAAGCAATAAAGGGAAAAGTAGGAAAACAGGAATAATGAAGGAAGCTGAGAGCGTTAGCCTGTCTCCTTGTTGTGCGTTTGGACCTCCAGGGCTGCAGGCATTTAAGAAAGATATGGCCGATCCCTTTGCTACAGCTGCTCAATGAACGGCCCTGGTGTCTGAACTGTCTCTCACACACACCAGCACACATCACTTGCTTTGCAAACACGCGTCACATGAAAGTTGGCTTGTTTGTATCCCATACAACAATCCTGGCACAGCTGCATAGACAACAACTATCTACTTTTTCAGCAGCTCACCATCTTTCTGTCACGTCATTCACTAGCTGCATGTATTTCCTTATTTTTCATTTTTCTCTGGGTTCGTGTTTGTCTGTTTTGACAGCTGAAGACAGGCCTTTCCAGAAAACAGATCTCCAGGTACTTACAAACAAGAAGTAAAAGCTTTTTTTTCCTGTTTTTGCAACTGGACCCTGTTTCAGACCAGCCCAGAATCTGGCCTGTTGTGTATGTCTGCTTCTTTCAAAGAGAGGCAGGGGAAATCAGTCCAGCATGGTCTGGTCTTTTGTTTTTATTGATAAGTTTACAGGACAAAACAGGCAGGCCGTGGAGACATTTGTGTTTCGGGCGGTCTTGTGGGTTGTTGTTTTTGTGTTTGCTCGAGCTTGAAAAAATAGAAAAGTGTTGTAGTGATACATTATATCTGAATATGTTAAGAAGAAGAGTGAAACCTTGATTTTACAATGTGTAAATAACATCATTTTAAATAAGAGTGGAATTGAATACATTTTTGTTTTTGCATGAATTATTGACTGCATATAAAGATGTACCAGCCTTCTAAATGTTTGTTACGTTTCCCCTCGCTGCTCCTCCTCCACTCTCCTAATCTCATGTACGCAGCTAAACAATATTAAAGCTGTCAATCATTATTTGAATAAAAAAAAAAAAAATGAATAGCTATAATAACAATAACTATGTTTGAACTGTACTTCAGCCGGTCACCAGGGGGCGATAAAGGATGATCTAACAGTTTCACTTAGCAGACACTTTTTTCTAAAGCGACGTACATCAGAGAGTAAGTACAACACAAGCAAGGATCTAGAAAAGAGAAAAAAATGTCAGTAACTACAAATGATCAGCTTTGAGTCCGATTGGACACCGAGGTCCTGACGCAAGAGGCAAAGCTACAACATTAATGGCAGTTCTTGAGAGCTCTAATCAGTGTAGGAATCATCTTAAAATCGTCGTTATCAAACAAAACCATCGTCATTACCATCATCATTATCAATAATATCAAAACCATTGTGATCATGATGAATAATATCTAAAAGATTGTCATGATCATCATTAAGGCCAATGATTGTGATCCGGCTTCACTTTTGTGGTGCTGTCATGTCATCTATCTTTTACAGTCTAAGGTGTGAATCTGTCCTGTCGCCCTGACACTACAGATCGATAAAATACAGCATTTGGGAACAGACCCTTCTGGACACAAAAATAATAACACAATGGGAGAGATTTTTTGACACTTCTTGCTAATCACTCGAACAGTCCTGTTTCAGGTGGGAGCTGAGTGGATTTCTGACCTCGGTTTGCACTACAAGGCAGACTGAATAAAGAACTTAAGATTTTTCTGTGATATAGTTGTCTTTTTTTTCCTTTGTGTGTACAGTTTTTCATAGACTGATCTTTCTGTTCCTGATTTGAAAGTATACATTATAATCAATATGATGCTATTATCATCTAAATGAATCTGGTTATATTTGGTACGTAGCTTATTTAAAGTCTTCTGTTTCTTGAAAGAAAAAAAAAAAAAAAAAAGCCAACAGCAGACCACCTCCGTGTAGTGGAGTGATCTCTGATGCGGTTACAGGCACTCGTGTGTGGGAGAGATTCAAATAGAAAGGTAATAAACCTTACACTTTCCTAAAACTTTTGAGCAAATCCATAAGAGGTTACTGCTGAATAAGGCCCCATGTTCATGTTCATGACACTACTATAAAACTTTCATAGCAGTCAGTGAGTTGTACCACAGGACGCTTCAATGAGCCGAGAGGGAAGTGTCCTCTCTATCTGTTTTAAAGTCATCGTCCTCATTATTCACACTCAGCAGTTTTTAATTCCTATACAACCCTTATCTAGAGTGGAGTGAAGTGACATTAAAGAGGCTGACGTTTGAGTCCTGTGAAGTCAACGCAGTGGATCAAGAAACGGAGCGGAAAGTTTGAGAGGACTTTTTATCAATGTGGACGAGAAAAGTTGTAAAAAGTGATATACATGACTGCAAGCAGCATGTTCCTCCAAGACCCGATTAGTGAAATCAATTAACCTGAATGCAATATAACATAATTAATTAACTTAAGCAGGCAGCAGCAGAAGTTAGTTTTCTTTAGCGCTAAACTTACTTTCTTTTCTCTCTGCCCAATGTCAGCACCTTTAGATAAACCTGTCACCCAGATGACTAAATGTATGAAGCTCTTTATGTGTTTGAACTCACTCTTTAAAGGCAGTAAGTTCACTGGGAAAAATAAGTGATGAACCATGATGATCCATTGTAAGACAAACATTTCCAAGCACAGCGGCTTAAAACATATATGCTGGTGTTACTCTCAAAGATCTTTTCATTTTATGTCTTGTGTTTTCACTCCTCAATTCAAGTATTTTACTCTCGTGTTACAGCTGTTATGGGCAAAAATAGCATAGCACTGTCTCTGGTCACTTAGAGTTTAGTCATCAGCGAGGGGTATTGGCAGGCTGTGATTGGTGGCAAAATGTTCCTGAATAAAACCTTCATGCATAAGACTGCAGGACAGGTGGGTCCTTCTCTCAGGGGATCTCTCTGTGAACCTTATCGAGTGGTGAATGAGATTGAGTTGAACGTGATTGAATGGGCTGGAAGGAGGTCTGATTGTGGCTCTGTGTGTGTGCGTGTGTGTGCGTGTGTGTGTGTGTGTGTGTGTGTGTGTGCGTGTGCGTGTGTGTGTGTGTGTGCATGTGTGTGTGTGTGTGTGTTTGAGTGTGAACACTAAGTAGGCTTAAGCACCCTACCATCCCCAACTGTGCTTTTGACTCATAGCACTGATAGTTCCAAAATTATCACCACCTACTGTATAAATTGGCGCACACACACTTCAAAAAAGGGTCTGAGCGTGTGAAGGTCCACACATTAAGCTCCAGCAGGAGCACAAGTGCGTGTGCATGCATGTGTGTGTATGCAAATTTTAACTAAGGCGAAAACAGAAAAACAAATGGCTCGGGGGATGGGGTGGTTGGTGGGTGGGTGGGTGTGATTGATGGCATACAAAGCTTAAAGTTATTGGCTCTGTATTTGCAAAGCAATATTTTGAGTTCCAAAGCCCATAAATTAAAAAGCAATATATGTCATACATCTTGGTAATACAGGAAAAAAAAGCCTCCTCCCGTTATAAGAACATCCAAGAGATGAATGTTTTTTGGAGTATTTGCAGAAATAATAGAGGCATTAAGTCAGGGTTAATGGCAAAGGAAAAACACTTGTAAATAGAAAATAATCTGCAAATGATTATGATGCAGTACAGAAAAAAACTACGTAATTAACTCTCAACTGTTTGGATCCATATTTGTCATTGCAAATATTCCTTACTGTACTAAGAGGGAGAATAACTATGGAGCCATGTGGGGATGAATGCAGAGCCTGATAACTATAAACAAAAATCCACAGATGCAAAAAAAAACAACAACACACTGTGCAAGTTGTTAGCTCTTTCGCTTCAGACTGCAGAAAGTCAAAGTCGTCAGGGGGGCTGTGTGTGTCTTGCACCTGCCCTGTGTCCACCGCAGCCTAAAAAGCTTTGCTGTGTCCCAAGTCAGGGGCTGCACCCAGAGGACGCATTTGAAGACAAGAGGTGGGCACAGTTTGTTAAGAAGGTGACTTTAACCCTTGATCTGTGAACAAAGACGTTAGCTTTGATAGCAGTCAATCAGTTAATTAATAACTAGTTAACTTTCAAGTTGAAAAAAATACAATACAATACATTTCAGTTCTTAAGAGTTCTTAATTACACATGTCAGTATTCAAAATCTACAAATCATAGAAACTTTTTTGCTATATCAAAACTTGTCTCCACACTAGTGGTGCACCATAGGTCAAACAGCATTTCACAATAAAATTGCACCGGTAGACTGGGCATTTTGGCTCAGTACTCAATAAGCTTAAAAGTCTTGATAATCAGTTTTTAAATTAATTAAAATAATGGCAATGATTAACAACAAACGGATGTGTGCCCAACTATTGCAACATAGTTGCGCATCGCAGGCTGATCCATTTCGAAGGTTCTTTCCAATGTGACCGACAAATGCATCCCTCTTCCCCTGGGCCAGGATCCATCCAGTGCATCTTTCTTGGCCCAACATATAGATTAATTGCGCACCCATTTCAACAGAAAGCAGACTTTCAAGTGGCAGAGTAATATACTTGTAAGCATAGCTTTCAATTGAATAGCTAGCAATACTTATGTTAAAGAACGAAAGGAGCCTTCTAACAGGTTAAGTAACATGACTTCAGTTATGATGGCTAGTTCAGCTGTCGAGTGTGCTAGGTGACAGGGGTGGCATTTAGTGAGGTAGAAAGGTAAAAGCAAGGGAAGGAGTAGCCGATGATGCAAACAGGAAATCCACTCTAGACTAGAAAGTCTCATTTCTGTTTGGACAGAGCATTCTACTCAGGCTACTAGTCCTTCGAAGGATGATTACCCTGAACTGGGACACAGTATATCTCAGATATATTTTAAATAAATTAATGACTTCATAAATGCATTTCCCTCCTATTTAGTACAAGTAATTGCTCCCTGCAGGCCTCATCCTGTTTTACTTTTATATTGGTTTTGTTGCTTCGCATGCATTTTCTGGATTTCTTGAAATTGAAAAGTATACCCATGGCCACCGTAACCTTAAAAACTGTTTGTGTAATAACTGTTAAAGTGATTTTCAAAGTTTTTCATCTTGAAGTGCAATTCATAGAAAAGCAAGAGAAAGCTCATTTTTATACTTTTCCATCAATCCGCGGACAACATGCTCCCCGAACTTTAGGGGGCGATCTAAATGGACCACAGATCAAGCGTGATCTGTTTTACTGTAACTATAAACATGTCCCTTTGCAATGGCTTTTGTGCAAACACATTTACACCTTCACACCCACACGTACACACAAACATACTGGTCACTCACCCAAATGTTGCCATCTTGGTGGTATGGTTTCCAGTTCCTTCCTGTGTCACTGTAGAGGAGACGGTACCGTGTCGTCCAATCAGAGCTGCTGTAGCGACCCTGTGTTGCTATGGCGCTCACTTGCTTTCTGGAACCCAGGTCCACCTGTAGCCACTGGTAATGGTCACTGTCCAAAGGTGACCATCCTCCAGCACCTGTAAGAGACAGTGACATTTAAATAATGAGTGAGAAGTCAAAGGTTGTGTTCAAAGTTCTTACTTTCATTTATCAGTGTCTGGTCTGTGATATTTTCTAAGGTCAAATGGCTTAGCCAAGGTATAAATAATAAATAGGAGAAGAAAGTATTTTTGCCTCATCTGTGTATCATATTACCACTGACTGCCTGTGGCATGTACAGGCTGAGTTAGCACTGTTAGCACCGACCAGCTTTAGACAGGTGGTAAACAAAGAGCAACATGGGGCTGCTTTTATAACTGTTCCCATACTGATACAGTATATCAATATCTGCCTCTAATACAGCCTAAAATGTGTCAATGGGTATCAGCAAGAATGCCAGTCAATGCACTGAACCAACACCATAGCCAATCAGCCTCCACAAAACCCACTGGATTCAGGTAGATTATTATGCGACAATAACTGGGTGGCACAAGAAGAGAGTGCAGTTTGAGTTACAGACAGAAAAATATCAGTGTTATTCCACCAACTATGCACAAAGGCATTGTCAGGAAGAGGACTTTATGGATGGAACTCCTCTATCTCTAACCTCTGGATTCCCTGGAAACATTGGCCATTGCTACAGGAGGCATTTATCAATGTCAACAGTTGCCAATTGGTTCTTCGATTGGGCAGTACACAACACAGAAATGTACTGGAGTAAGTGTGGGACACAATGTTTTATTAAGAGTTTTGCACAGGGGAGTTAGGGTTACATATAAACAAAGACAAGCTACATAGGAAAGCTCATTTGTCATCTAAGCTTTAAAAGCTTGAGTTAAAACATGTGGAATCCAAAGAATACTCTTTTGAACCAGGCATTACTACTGGCAAGGCCAAGATACAAGCAACAAGGAGTCTGCTTTTGCATTATGAAAATGGAGAAAAGGCAGGAAAAATGCTGGCATTCTAACTAAAATGTTTTTGAACAAAAGCACTCCATCCATCACTACTTTAACAGTTAGCTGTGGTGATGTAATAAAGGATCATGAGGTTATTAACGATAACTTCAGATGTTTTTTTTTGCCAATTGATTCCTTTTTAGATTGAGCAGTACACAACCCAGAAAGGTATCAGAGTTACTGTGGAAGACATTATGATTCATTAAGATATTGCACAGAAGGCTAGAGCATGCTCCTGAATCAAAAATTTCTCCTGTATTATGTATTAATTCATCCTCCAGCACAGCAAACACTTTAAACTTCAAGAGGAAGGCAATAAGTATGCATGACGTTTCAGGATGGATTCATTTAAAATGTTGGTATTCAGGACATAATGTGACATTTTGGAGTCCTGCCGAAAGTGTAGATTAAGTTCAAATGCAACAAAGGATAAGACTATAAACACAACATTCAAATGTTGTCACAGATTATATCTAAATGCTTAAAAAGAGTCAAACAGGGATGGCACATTTCCCAGATATGTAAATACGTGAAAATGCAAATACTGTCCAGCACAAATTCAATCCACTTCTTACTGACAGTCACATTTGGTTATCTCCATTGATTTGCTAAGCTGCTTCAATATGTGCATCCTTGAGTGCAGGTTAAAGTGAAAGTTTACTCTGGTGGAAGATTCACTGACATTTTCAGTGCTCAAATCTGTTTGCTTTGATAACAAATTAGTCTCAATTAGTCCAATAAACAGAGGTAAATGACTTGTTTCAAGGTTTGGTAAAACAAATTCTTTACCTTTTTGCACATGTGGTTATTAAATATATTAAAAAAATCAAGTTTGGGGTTACTGATCTCATTTACAGAAAAGGTGCAATAAAGCAAAACGAAAATAATTCTATGTAGGTGAAATACTGCTTTGGAGAAAGGTACAATCTCTGGAAGAGCAAAAGAGATTTTTTTTCAGTGCTATTTTCCCTCGGCTACAGCCTTGACTGCTGGAATAGATGGCTGCGTCTGTCTTGTAATCCACTCAGTGGCAGTCAGTGTCCTTGAGTCCCCGCCTGAAACCTCAAGTCTGCCTTCATTTCTAGACAAACACCCATGTGTCCTCCAAAAGTTACCCTGTATCACACCTCCAGATGTATACCAGTCAGGGCAAAAGTCCACTGGACCTCGCAGGCTAAATGGGCCTCAGGTTAAATGATGCAGAAACAAAAGAGAATGGCTAGACAGAAGGGAAGATAAAAACTGAACAGGATCCCACTGACCTGATTTTATCTGCCACCAAGAAAAAACAAAGAGGCATGATGCCAGCATTGTGTGTACTGTATGCTACTGATAGAGCAGTCAGACCAGAGTAAGGAATACAAGGAAATGAACACAGTGTGCATTAGAGTGCATGAAAAATATGCATGCACACAAACACAAGCCATCACTGAAGATGTATCAGGGCAGCAAACAGCCGAGCCTGTGACAGAATGTGAGTTTGAAATCATTATCAAGAAGAGTGGGTGGTGGATGGACTTCCAACAAGCCATGTCGCGGCCATCTACCTTTGATTTCTATGTGATGGATTATTTGCAAAAGGACACAAATACAGATAAGAAAGTGCAGGGGTTGAAAGAAGAAGTTGAGGAGATGGATTTATTTGAAAATGAAAGAGGGGGAAAGCAGAAACTATGGGGCAAGGTAAGAGAAGATAACAAGATGAAGAAAGCACAAGAAGGAAAGAAGGGTACGAAGCATTGTGGAGGACTCATGAGAGATGTTGGTCATATAAAAAAAATAGAGGGTGAGGCAGTTTGCAATGTATCCCTCACCCCCGACAAAATCCGATATCTTATCCAATTACAGAGCCATTACACTCCAGCCCCTGCCTTGACAGATAACAAGGCCCATATCAGTTGAAATGTCAATACCTCAGAAATACGTTGCAGCAAAGCCATTCCCTTGGCGGGATAAAACACTATCAAAAAGAAGGAGCATAAGGAGGACGGAGGAGCGGGAGGGTGAGGAATCTGGAAAGGGAAGGACGAGCTGATGGTGATAAGTAAAGAGACAGTCGATATAAAGATTAAGAAAGCAAGCCAAGCGGGCAATGACAGAGGCAGTGCAAAGCTCGGAACAAGATCTGAAGATAATGTGTCAGAAAGAGTGACAAGAAGATTTGAGAAGAGGGGGTGACAAGAAACGAGAAGAAAGCAGAGAAATGGAAATGAGTAAGGGTAAGAAAGATGGATGAGCTGGGGAGAAGAGGGAGCGATGAAAGGGAATTACATGGCTCTGATACCGGGGGGGGCCCCGAGATGAAATAGCATGTGGATGGGAAGAAAAAAAAAGGGACAAAAAGGGAGCAATGTTGTTATGGTAAAAGAGGTGATAGATGAGGCCAGAACCCTGGTGAGAATGGGAAGCAGACATACTCTTCTCCATGCTCCATGCTCCACATCCTGATCTTTGGATTTCTATCTTTCTTCACAGCACCCAACACAACACTATTTGTCATAAATTTTGAGCGGCGATGACATTTTAAAAGCTTGTCTAATATTTGAACCCAATAAATCTCAGGACCTCTCAAGGATTCAAACCCCTTGGTGTTTCCGTACCCTACTTCTTTATTGGCATGGAGTGAAACGAAATCAAAGCTAGCCATATTGTTGTTTTTTTCATTGAGTTTGTGCTGGCTTTGACACTGCTTTGAAATATCAATGCCTTTTTTTTTCAAAGTTGACCCAAAATGTATGATGCAGTTTCTTTATTCAAATGTATTATTTATCCAAATGGCAACTGGACCAATAATGTAAATGACTCTTGGTCAAATTAGGTCAACCGCTCAGGTTATTACAAAACACATACCTCTACTGACGATCACTGAGAATCCTAAAGCAAGTAGTCAGCAATTTTTGATACATTGTTAAAGGCCTTAATTTGTTGTAACTGCCTGCCGGGAATCAAGGTTTGTATTGCTAATTCCGTCTTCTCTATCGTATGGAAGCGATTACTGATCAGAATTGAAATGATAAAGCTATTAATGCATTAACAGAAATGCTTTTTAATTTTCAGAATATGAGTGTATTCTTTGACTCAAAATAAAATGATGACTAATTTATCTAATTTGAATTTTAGTCTTCAACTTCAAAAAATGCACATTCTTTGACTAAATTAAAATGAAGAAGATAATGACATTTGCTTTTTCAATTTCAAAAAATGCCCCGCTAAATTTGTATCATAATTCAAATGAAAAAGCTAATTTTAAAATGAAAATACAGTAACAGAAACACGTTTTAACTTTCAGAATATAGGTGCATTATTTGACCTATATTTAAAATGAATATTCAGTCATCCAGTTTGCATTATACTTTTACTCTCTATGTATGCATATTGTATGACATCATTCAAATGAAAACTAAAAAGTCTTTGGCTTTTCGTTTTCAAACTTGCCGTGCTAAAAAGTGATCATAATTCAAACCAACTTGAAAATAATATGGCTAAGTGGACGGCGCAGGACAGTGACGTCAGACGCCAGAAAACTAAAATGAAAATTAGATAAATTAGTCATCATTTTATTTTTGACTCAAAGAATACACTCATATTCTGAAAATTAAAAAGCATTTCTGTTAATGGATTTTAATTTTCAAATTAGCTTTATCATTTGAATTCTGATCGCTAATCGCTTCCATACTATAGTGCTTTAGTTTGGACAGAGTGAACACCTTCTACGCATTGGTGTTGGGTGTAAGATAGAAGAAACACTGAACATTCCATGCCAAGAAAATACAAGACTCTAAATTTGTATGCTGCGATCACATAATATGTAGCCTTAGTCTACTGCCAGTCCCCTTCATACATACATTTGCCAGATTTCCCATTCACCATCCCTCCATCATAATCCCCTCAGCCTTTCCGGCTGAACCTTTTTTCATGCTCCATACTTGTCATTTATTCCTGATCAGTCATATTTGTACCTGTACCTTAATGTGGTTTCCGCGAGGTCCTGCTAATATTTAAATTGCCCATAATTCCTTCATGACCTTCCAACCTGCATCTCTAAATCTTTTCAGTGTTATTTCTGGTTTTGGTTCTTT